TCTATCTATCTATCTATCTTCAGTCTCAACTCCATCTGATTTAGCTCATCAAAGCCTTTTTTCTCTCTCCCCCATTTGCGAAACATGATGAAACGTGTCTCTGAATAAACACAACTTTGTATTTATGAGCTTTGTTGATGTTTACTCGACTTCTGCTTTCGGGCTCCCTGCAGCCCTACAGATCCCGGTGCACATGGCCCAGGAGCAGATAGGCCCCCCCAGTCTATGTGGGCCCCAGGTAGGCTGAATGTGCGCCAGTGGGACATCCGCGACTTGACAGCTGCATGAAGCTTTTCAGCGTTGTAATTTCAGATAATATCCCGAGCGCTCACTCTCCTCAGCAATTTGTATATGAATAACCGAATAATTTTCCCTTTTGTTCCATCTGTGCTACCTCAAATCCAAATAAAGATGCCTTTTAGTATTAAAAGTGGTAGAAAATTACAGGTAATTATCTTTGACGGTAAAAACGCTGTAATCAGCGGGCTACATCAAAAATTACCCTAATTATGCCTGCATTTATGAGAATGGAAAAAAAGCCTCACTTGGATAAAAACCCACAAATTGTCCCAAATATCTCCTTCATATTGAACGCCACTGCAGCTGGCTGCTTTGTTCAACATCGATCCCGTGGAGCTTGGCATTTAACGGCCTGCATTAGGACGGAGAGAAGGGAGAAAACATTTTGTCAATACTTCTAATAATTGAGGGTGAAATGACAAGATGAGCTGGACCTGGAGCAAATGTCTTTCGAGGTGAATGTAGACAGCAGCGGGGCAGGGTAAGTTAATTTCCTCCGGTGTTGAGTGCATTTGATAAATCTATATACTGTCTTCATCAGCCAACTGAGCGCTTTATGGGTTTATTTAAAATGTTTACTCTGATGAAATGGGCTTTTCACTGAGCACTGTGTCATTAATTTATGTTCATATCGTCTGTTATAATCTTGTGCACACCAGGGTGACGGGAAATAGGCCTGTTGTGATGTGATGTTGGCCCAATATGAAGCACAAAATAGAGGCCTAGTTTAAAATGAAGATTCTTTTTTTTTTTTTTTAAATCATGCGACAGCAGGCATCTGTTTTGAGTCACGGTTTACTCAATCTGACAAAACATAAAAAGTGTATGTACAAACTAAAATCGCAGATTATATTTACAGACAGACAATTTGCTTGGTTTTGCATGTTGGAGAAACAACCCAAAAAAAATAAAAATAAAAAATAGCAGTCAGGAGTCCACCATGGCTGAAGGTTCTGGGCGCCACAGCGCATGGAGAGTGTAAGCAGTCTTTGCCCCAAAGTGGCCGAAATGTCACTGATAATATTTGGTATATTGACGTTCAGATGGTGACATGAATGAAAGCATAACAAATATGCGAGCCCACTGAACAGCCATGTACGCTAAAAAAAAACAAAAAAAAAAAAAGGTTAGTTCCCTTGTTTGTGTCATCACACCGAGGCTTGGCTTGCCCGTTTTATCCTTCAGCAGAGGAGCAGCGGAGGGGTATGTTTTTTCCTCCTCCTCTCCAGCATCCAGTCTCTGCGCTGACACAAATTGTAGGCTACGTTGGAAACTGCATGGCGGAGATCCGGAGGCCTCCAGACAAGCTCGCATGACCCTTCCTTGCCTGAGTCAGTCTATCTCTGCATTGAATCTTGATGTGGGGAGGAATACCAGTGAGAGTAGCCGGGCATGTAGCTGTTGGCCGGCATGTTTACTCCTTTGGAAGAGGCCGAGACGTCCCATATTGGAGGGATGGTCGGGGAGCGCGGGGAGAGGGACATGGAGCCCGGTATAGGGTCGCTCTCGTGCGGGTTGCCGCCTTGCTTCAGCAGCTTCTTGAACTTTGACCTCTTGTTCTGGAACCAAATCTTTACCTGCAGGGAGAGGACGGGAAAGGGGTGCGTGCAATTAGAGGAGCATGAGTTGTGGGAAGGTTGGTTACTTTCTGCAAAATGTCCAAGCATCAAAAGTTTAATATTAGGAAGATAAAAGCCAAAACAAAAACACAAAGCCAAATGATAATAACAATAATAATGTCCTGATCTTTATTATAATTAAATACAATATTATTTCATGGAGTTCAATGAGAAAGCCAGGGTGTAAATTCCTCCTCATACCTGGGTTTGTGTCAGTCCTAGAGAGGCAGCCAGCTCGGCGCGCTCCGGTAAAGCGAGGTACTGTGTTTGCTGGAAACGGTGGTTCAGTGCTTGGAGCTGCAAACTGGAGTAAATTGTCCGAGGTTTGCGAATCTTCTTGCCTTTCCCATTAAAACGAATTTCCCCGTTTTCAATCACTGTCGTCTTCTGCTGCTCTGCAACAAAAACAATCAATGTTATTATTCAAAACCACTGTCTGGACATCTTAATTTTTCTGTGCTGGGGTCGGGGGGGAAACACAGCCGGTGTCAAATCGGCTGAAATATTCCGGGAAGGTGGAGATAAAATCAGTGGCGCGCCGAGTGAAAAGTGTGTTTAAAAAAAAGAGGAAAATTTCAGCCTGATAAACGTTGACATCTCGTCGCCTGTAAGCGCCGCGGCAGCCACAATCCTCATACGCTGTCATATTTAGGATATTGCTGGTAATGACATGTCAATTAAATGCTAATTACAACATTCAAGGCGTGCGGGCTGCCTAATTTTCAGGAGTAGTTGGTGAGGATTGCACGGCCGTGATGATCACACCCCGGGCATTAAAACAGGTTTTGTGGGAGCTGAGAGGGAGTGCTAAACAGGACAGCAAAGCGGGGCTAAGGGAGGTAATAGGCTGGATCTCGAATTATCCGGTGCCATTTACGCACGGTTTTCTTCGCTGTAATCGCTCACCTACGCTTGAAAGATCATTCGTCCGAATTTGGAGTGGCCCCGCAAGGTGACTTGGGCATGACACCGCCAACACTGGCAGGGGGAGAAAGGCTCGATCCCCGCTGTGGGCAACCGACATTAAAAGAAGCGCTAATGGCACTGTCAGGGCGCCGGGAGTGGACATGGCGCGGTGCATTTTTCCACTCGGCTGGTGAAAAAAGGGGGGTCTCTTACTTACCTGTGCCGTCTAACCTTGTCTGTCCTCCCGTGTTGTTGTGATAGGATGGCAGGTACGGGCTGTGGTGCGGATGGCTCACGTAGGGGTAGGGTAACGACCTGTTGTAGGTGTTGGTCCCGGTGTACGCGGTGTTGTCGTGCTGGTGGTGAGCGTGTGAGCCGGAGTGGAGACAGTGCAGCGGGTAGTGGCCGCCGGCCATCGACGGGGAGCTCTGCTGTGAGTGCGACTGCTGCCCAAACTCCATGAAAGCAGACTTGGACGAGTCCTGAGCCTCCAGACCGTCAGCCATCGTAGTCATGGTCATCATCGAATTTTCTGCCTTGAGAGCACTCACCCCCCTCTCTCTCAAGACCAAATCGGTTTTCTCTCTCTCGCTGTGCTGTTGTCTCTCTCCCCTCTCCACCGCGAACAGATATTGTCCTATTAACACCCGAATTTTCCAGAGGCGTCTTTATTTCCCCCCCTTGTCCTGTGATGTTCTCACTCAAAGTGGCGGAAGGTAGGCATAAGTTAAGGGAGAGATTTTTAGGTGGATTCTGTTAAAATTGAGCCCTTGCTTCCAGACTTGATGCAGACACTACAAGTAAAATGGTTTGTCTCCAAAGGGCAGCGCCTCCCGATTGGTCATCCAACCCAACGTCATCAGTGCTCTGCGCTACACGGAGACTTGAGCTGGAGTTAACCCACCTTACCAGCTCCCACCACAACTATGGGGGAAATAATATATGGTGGGGAAAGACGCATAATTCCTACAGACAAGCTCCACACGCAAAACCAACTCTTTTGGAATTGCCGAGTCGATTTTTGTTTTTTTACCCAAACCCTCAAATTACGCACGACGCGCAACATATAGTGCGCACTTTGATTTAGCCTGATGCGCCAGCAGTCTATATGGGCCTCTTTTTTTCTCAGCTTTTAACTCCTCCTCTCCTCAGGCTTTTAATTACTTATAGAAAAGCATCACACAAACACCCATTTAAAAGAATATTAAAGTCGAAGTTGATTTTCAACCCAAATACCAATAAATTATTTACAAGCTTGCCACACAGGAAACAAAATATCCATCTTCACAAGCCCCATCTATTATCGTTTAGTTGGATTAAATATTGTTTTAACCAAATTTATAAACATTTACAAATGGGTGTGGGTTAACCCCAGTCGTATTAAGTATACCTTTAAAGATTTTTTAAAAGGTTGCCTTATTTATACTGGAGAAGTGATCTGTTTTATGTCAAGGAAACTCCTGAAACAGGTGGAACAGCCTTCGAAATAAGTGAAAATAGGCCTCAACGGATTCTTTTAAATGCACAAATTAGAGCTTTTGGATTTATTTATTTTTACAAAGAATACCTAATTTTTAAATTCTCAAATAACTTATTTTTTTGCAGTGTAGTATTTGCTTTGATGTCGCCTAATGAGCAGCCCCTCTTTAAGCCCCCCTCCGCTCTGAAAGTAACATATATTATAACTGTTCGTTCCTCCTGGGGCTACTGACCATATGATTAAGGATCTTCAGACAATTCAAGCTACAGCACATGTGACACATCAAATAACAATATGCCTGAGGTACAATAGGTTATTTTTCAGATAGAAGGGTGGATACCGAGATAAACTGACAGTGTCTTTTATCCCTGTTATAATATGAGGCCTGATAGGGTCCTCAATATATGTAAATTATACAGTTTGCCTCTGAGGACTGCGATGTTCGATTCGCAAAATAAGAATGAAATTCTGTTTCCGCTCATATTAACGCAATAGGTATTCAAATCATGTTTTGTACCACTTTCACCACATTTTTCTGCCGCAATGTAGCGTTCAGGATTTCACCCCAAAAAAAAAAAAAAAAAGGAGATGAAAAATAATTATGGCTGCAATCAAGTTACTGCGAAAACCTATTTGATTAGCGGCCACACTTTACTCAAATTGCAGCTATAAAATTAAGAACAATTCGCCTGTAATGATTATGGACTGGATTTATTTTGGGAGGGTGGAATAAAAGTGGATATAGCATAAATTATCCCCTAATTATACGCCAGTGTCGCCTCAATTATCCTCTTATCAAAAATGGTTGTCTAAATGCAGCGTTTAGTTTCAATTTTCTCCTTTTCTGTAACAAGAACTTGGTACCTTGCTATTATCGTCAGCTACGGTTGTTATTTACTTTGTGGGATTTAAAAGTGCACAACCCAGCCGGATAATCATTTTACAGCAGCGGACCAAGAGAGGAGCACAGAGGCAGGGGATGTGAGCCGCAAGACACCCAGGCGGATTTGGTTTTATTCCTCCAGACTCTGTTAGATTCAGTTCAGTTTTTCTACAAAATCACAGTGCTGCTTCTTTTGTCGCCAGGAGGGCTGCAGGTAAGAGCTTCTTTCTGAATGCTCTTTTGTGTTCACTGACACTGATGAATGATTTTATTGCCTCTGATAATTCTGTGTTTTACGCACACAGTAGTGTGGCCACTGCAGACCTTGCAGGAGTCGGGACACCTTGGTCACCCCTCAGTGATCTAACATAGTGGCCAATTCCCCTTGCCCGTGTTCCACTTGGACACGCAGAAGAGAAACCAGATCCTATACCTTTTCTAATCGCCTTTGAGTGCCACTACAAAGGCATACATGCGTTTGCAGCGATGTGAGTTGCTTCCCTGCGGGCTTAAATCTCCGGGCTAGATTGGATGAGTCGTCTTCATTCTTTAGCAGCATCATCAGTGTGCCACCGCAGGATTATTAAGTTGCGGGATAACAGTGCGGGTGAGGTGAAAGTCTTGGTGTCCCGCAGGCGCGTTGGGAGGCTTTTCTGGGCACACTGAGATTAAGTGAAGTGGTGAAAGAGCGGATTTGTTTGAATAGAGAGAACATGACATACTCGACCTTGGTGCTTTCGAAATGTTTAAGATGTAGCCTATTGCATGCATGCTGACAGCCGTGTCTAATTGCAAGGAGGCGCATGGAGAAACTCCGGGGCCTGCGCAGGATGGCATCAGTGGACAGGATCTAGAAACGATCATTTAGTTTGGTTTAAAATCGATTTGCGTTCGTGCAAAACGGTTTTAACATGCAGGAGATGAAACGCCATGTCCCTAACGCATGCTTCACCTGCTGTATCATGCCTTCCTGTTGTACTCTGCCCTATTAGGGGTTCATAGCCTCATTCTGGAGAGAAATTATTTTATATTTCACTTCGTCAAAATGTCAATCACAAAATGAACAGCATTCAGCTGCAAATCTACAAATCACTTTGTCCCTAAGTAGATGATTGACCTTCAGCACAATCAATGGCCGTGGTGGTTTAACAGAAGTGGTCTTTATTTCCAGCTGTCTTATAAACGCTGATGAATGACTCTCTAAAATCACTCCAGGCCTGGGATTTCCCTGACATCCACTGTCTGATACATGAAAACTGAGAATATTTAACATCGCGTTTGTAGGTGTAACCTGGCGTTATTTTATGGTTAACACACTCGCTGTCAGTGGGAATATTAGGTAAAGGTAGGGGGTAGTATCAGTTAGTTAACGTCCTTTACGCACGTACATCTTAGATTAATGTGCAAATTGCCACTAGAGAAGTTAAAAAAAAAAGATGCAAAATGTAACTAGTTTCTCTCATCTTCTCTCTGGCTGGTTCTAACACCGCCCGTCTTTTCTTGTCTATCTGGCCACACGTGTTAATCATATCTGAGCGTTAACGCGGAGTTCCAGAAAGACACAGGTCATAATTGTAGCGAGTGGCTGGGCGTTTGCGGTCGGTTCCTCTAACAGCTATTGACTGGCTCGCATGGAAAGCCACCTCCTTGGCTGCTCGGGGACCCGGGCGGTTTGGGGACGCTGAGGCTTGTCACTGCAGAAAGGGAACCGGGAGACACTTAAACAACATGTCTCCCTTCTCCACAACGCAAAGCCACAGGCGCTGCACAGACAGCCAGGCGTCGACGGCTCTCCATCTCTGCCGCGTGAAGGGCGGGATGTGGCGAGGGGAAGCTGCATACTACACACAGCTGTCAGTGTAACACGGTTCATTGTAACTAGATTCAGAGAGAGAGAGAGAGAGAGAGAGGACGGGAGGGAAGAGGAGAGACCCACACACACCACCACACACACACACACACACCATCCCAAAACGATCAGCCTAATGCTCCAGTCGAATTCATCCGTGCCCAAACGGTGGCGCGCCGCTTTTACGCACATAAATTGCGCACAGCGCCCTAATGCAAACCCACTTATGCACAGCTTTGATGTGTTTTGTATACGCTTGCAACTACACCAAGAAAAATTAGTGCGGTTTTGTCATAAAGGAAACCACGCGCTGCCAGGCAGGCGACTGTTTACAATAAGTTTTGCATCATAAATTAGGATTGCATTATCTCTCGAGTAAATAGCAAAATTGGCATATGCATGGCCCCAGGTGCAGGCGAGGGCCTTCAGATGGACCCAGTGTACCGTGATGGTAGTGGAGCTAAATGACCACAAATAAGCAAAAGGCCTGCACCGCTGAGTCTCTCAGCCTCTCATAGTCTAATGGATTTAATTTGGCACGTCTGAAGCTGCACTGGTCCCACTCAGGGCCCGTGTCCTAATTAAGACTGCTTGTTTCTCTTGTCGCCTTCTCTCGCTGTATATTTAGCTCCACCTGAATGATTGCATTGCTCGGTTTCCTGCACTGGGCAAGTGCTTTTATTTATGTTATGTCATTTGTTTCTGGAATGAAAATATACAAAGGCCACGAACCTGAAATGGAGTCATTTGGTGAAGTGTAATAGCAGAATGTGAGCGCAATCTCTGGCCATATTATCAATATTATTCAGGCAATAAATGGAGAAATAGCTAAGGAGGACGATAATGTTTTTTTTTTTTTTTTTAACATACACTTGTTGTCGTCTATTGGCAGTTTAAGCTCAGACTCAGACTCAGATTAGGTTAGGTTCAATGCTTCTGGTCCCGCTCATGGCGAATCTAGTTCGTTTGATCCTGAATACCAAGTCAGTAACATAGGAGCTATATAAAAAAGTTGATCTGAATTTTATGTTGGTGACAAATAAGACTAGTGAGTGCCGGGGTGTGCGTCGCCCCCCCTTTTTTTCTCTCTCCCTCTCTCGACTTAATACGCGACATTATTAGGTCTGACAGCACAGTGGTCGGTCTTGAAGGAGAGGATTTGGTCGATAGATGACAGACAGGAAGGCCAGCAATCATGGGCTCTTTTTTTATCAGAATGTACTGTTCGATGCCGTTTATCCCTGATGATAGAAAATTGCTCTGTTGCCAGGACGCTGCCGCTGAAATAGAGGGCAGGAGCAACATTTCCATTTTCCAGTTTGAAAGCCATTGAAATGAATTAGTAAAAATGGAAAAAAAGAGGGAAAATGAGAAAGAATCCCCTGGTAAACAAAGGGGAGCAAACAAAGATACCATTTTCTTTTGCCGAGAATCCACCCTCCTCATTTCCTGTTTTTTTTTTCTATCCTGCAGCAGCAGAGTGAGGGTTTTTACTTCAACAGTTGCAAATCACATGCTTGGCTTCTAATGTAGTCCAAGGCCCGAGCCT